AGTACTGTGTACAATGTTGGGCTCCCTTCCTCAAGAAGGACATTGAATTGTTGGAGAAGGTTCAGAGAAGAGCCACAAAGATGATACCCTGGGATAGTGGGATTGTCTTACGAGGAGAGACTAAAATCTCTAAACTTGTTTTCTCTGGAGAGGAGAAATGTCAGAGGGGATTTGATTCAGGTGTTTAAGATTATTAAAAGTATTGATAATATAGATCCATCAAACTTTTTTGTGTTCAGCAGTGAAAACAATAGGACAAGGGATCATCAATTCAAATTTTGGCAGTGTAGGAGTCGTCTGCAGTTTAGACAGTATTACTTTTCAAACAGGGTGGTTGGCTTTTGGAATGAGCTGCTTTCAAGGGTGGTGGAAGCAAAACATTTAACTGAGTTCAAGAAAAAAATTGGATGAATATACCAGTAGTAAGGGGTAGTTATAGTTGGGAGCTGGAAGGGACATCCTTGATGAGCTATTAAGCTCCTTTTTGTCCCTTTAAAATTTTATGAATTATTAATTTATATTTCAGTATATGATTTTGTCAAGCTTTTTTTATCTATGAAACTCTAGAATTTTTTCCACTACAAAAGTAAGATAAACTGGCTTATAATTTTTAGGCTAATTCTTATTAACCCTTTTAAAAATAGGAGTAATGTTAGTAACTCTCCAATCCTCAGTCACCTGCCGACTGTTTGTTGACCTGTCAAAATTAAACGGGAAGGTTTGCATATTTGATCTTTGACCTCCTTTAAAATCCTTGGAAAATCATTGTCTGGTTCTGGAGCTCTATCTATTGTTAATCGCTCAATCTTTCTACATACCACTAAGAGATTAATATCTACATGATTCTGTTAATTCTAATATTATCCATAGTACTCTTAAGATGAGAAATATTGTTAATATTTTAACTCAATATAATCTATGTACAACAAGGGATTATTTGTTTTTTCAAGTCTCTTCTTGCATACCTAACCTTGAGAAAAGGAAAACTTTTAACCCACCCTTTATTTTTCTTCAATTCCCCTTAAACTTCTCTAAGTACTGGCCTCTACTGCTGCTAATGGTAACTCATTCTGTAAGCCAGTCACTTTGTTAGAAAAATAAGATTGATGTGTTAACTGGAGTTTAGCCTGTCTTTTTCTTGTGTCCTCTCGTCCTGTTATCTTCAGAATATAGCACAAAGAAACCAGATGCTTTATCCTCCTGACACCCTGGATAACATTATAAACTTCAATAAGATCACATTTTTCCTTTTCTTTCTTCCAAGATAAAGAAAGATAAAAGATCATATAGAATCATCATAAAAGTTCTACTATGAACCTTTTACAATAAGTCAGTATCCTTTCTTAGATAAGGAGACCAAAACTACATGCATTATTCCTAGTAAGGCTTAACTAGTGATTAACATAGAGAGATAATTACCTCTTTCTTAATATTGATAATAAAAATTATTATTCATAAGAATTACAAATGAAAAGTGAGCAAGGTGTTTGATATAAAACTGTCATTTTTCTAAGATGAAAGTCATACCTTTGAACCAGAAGCACCTATAGTTAAAAATTTACTTTTTATAGCCGCTTACCAGCAGGGCTAGCAGTTGGAAACAACAGACATTCTGCTGACTATATTCATCTGTTGTTCACTGAAAATGCAGGCTTATAAGATGTTTTGCAGTATATGTCAAAATATTCAGAATAAGGAAACTTATTACATGACTTATTACAGTGACTGTTTAGCCACTAAACTGCCAGTGCTTGAGTAGTTGAGTATTAGTGTGAGAAAATGTTCTTAAAAAGAGAAAAAGGATAACAGGGAAGATCAGAACCTAATTAGTATACTAAAGACATGAAGAAGAAAATCAGAGATAAAAGCAATAAGTTTATAAAGAGTGAATATTACACACAGTTTCAAAGATTTGCAGAACTATAGGAAATCTAAGGGTTTGGTTTAAAAAAATTAGGAAATGCAAAAGTGTTTATTTGAATAAGCTAGCTGATAATGTTAAACTTAATAAAGAAAATACAGTTAACTGCATAGGCAACAGAGACACAAAAATAAATTAATAGGTTTCAACATTTTTTTCTATATTTCTTTCTTTGTCATATCGTTAAGCTTAGAACAAAATCATATGCACAGAATTCGACAATTGCATGTACAGCATTTTCACTGTTGATTTAAATATTCTTTGAAAATTGAATTTATTTCATTAAGATTTATCATGTCTTAAATAAAAATGAAGAATAAAGAAAAAGAGAATTAAACACAGGTTAAAAAAATTATAAACTTTTGGAGAGAGTTAAATTCTAGAAGAAAGAAAATAATTTATTTAGACCAAAAGGATTTAGGGTTTACAGATGGTTGACTACTTTCCTTTCTTGTCCTTATCTTCTCTGAATGTTTATTAAAGCATGCATAAGTTTCAGAATTGGAAATTTCTCAGTTGTGTTCATGTTGTTGGTGAAATGTTTGTCTAAATAAGCGTATCTTGGTTCTGTAGTTGAATACAACTTAGAAGTTCATGTGTTTGATCACTGAGTCTGCATCCTGTTTTTCAAATGTATCAACTATCACACTTTTTTTTGCAAATTATACAATAAATGATACATTAAATATTGCATAAAAAATTGTCTTATGTCGAAAGCTGTTTTTTTTCAGTAAATGGATAATTAGACACCTAAAAAAATGAGGAAGTAGGACATTTAGACACCTAATAATTTTAGAGGGGTGTTAAAACTTTTAAAATTTGCAACATACTTAAAATACATATAATGGAGAAAATTTAAACTGGTAATACAGTAGGCCTAGATATATACAGTTCATATAATGGAGTAAAGGACAAGTTTAAATTCACGTGGTCAGTTTTCTAACAATTTGCATTCATGATAACATAAAACTAAGCCATTTTGTCTTTAATGACATCATTTATGACCAGATAAGTAGGATCAATCAATAGCCAATAGTTTTATATGCTATCATATAAGGAAGTAAGCTAAATTGATAATGTATTAGGCCTAGATATATATACAGATCTTTTATATGTTGCAATTATTGTTTTATTTTGTAATAGACAAGTGGTGTCTAAATGGCCTATTTTTGTATTTTTTGGTGTATAGCTGTCCTGGATTCATTTTTTTGTTTCATGTATATGTGTGGTATATATGGGCAGGTGACACACATTTTGTTTATACATTTAAGTATGTGGTGTATCATATTGTATTTTCTTAAGATTGCTGTGTACCAGGATTTCTCTTAGTTTGTAAGCAATAATGAGTGAATCCTTAAAATATCTTTAATGGTTGGGCCTTCAGTAAGTATTATGTAACTGTTTACTATAATGTCTTTGATCTCCATGCTGGTGTGATGGTACATAAACTTTTAATACCTTGTTTAACTCCTTAAACCCGAGTGGATGCTACCATCATTAAGCTGAAAATCCCGATTTACCCACTGAATGGTGACAGCATTCAATAACATTTATATCTCTTTGGCTGACAATTAATCCAAACTATGTTATTATCCACCTTTCATAACTAGATTCGAAACTGTGTAAGGTATGGTGAAAATTATTAGGACATTATGAAAGTAATTCTGGCAGAACTTGCAAACCATTATGGGTTTAAAGACTTAAATATGTAGTTTGATAATAACTTGTTGATGGGTACTTTGAATGGGAATTTCATTCTTGGGATTGAGTGAGTTAAGAAAGAATATTAATATATGAGAAATTCTAGTTAATGTAAGGACTCAACAATGAATATTAGCATATGAAAGTGTAATATTTTTATATCTAGTTTCAGGCTTACCTTGACTGTAGGACAGCTGGTAAAATGGCTAGTTTTAGTATCCAGCATATTAGAAGTCATCATCGTTTGTATGACCATTACTGGAAATACTATAACCAGATGGTTGGCTGGTTTCGCCATCATAGAATGTTCAACCATAGCTTTAAATTACATCAAAGAAGACAAAGGATTTGTAGAAATATTAAAGATTCTACTGACTTACAGAAAAAGTTTTGTCACAGACATCAAGATGTAAGGAGGAAAATTTGTGATCATTCAAAATCTTCCATTAGAGGGAACAGTCGCTCAAATAGGCGTGGCACCAAGGCTTACATAAAATGGAATAAGTCGGGAAAATCACAAGGACTTGTTGTGAAAGGAATCATCAAAAAAGAAGAAAACTCAACAAAAAAAGCAAGTGAAGTTCAGCTAGAGATGGAGATCACTGAAGAAATGATCGCATTTTTTGAGCACTCTGCTAAACATAAAGAAGAACTCAGTAAGTAATGGAAATAGTAAGGTTGTGCCATATTTGGTAAATCAGGTTCAAGATGCAGATTTATGAAGTCCATGTATACACACCTCATTTTCTGTATTTATCGTTCATACATAAGGAGCTTTGCTGTGTAATAATCGTGTACTTTAAGTAATTCTTTTTGTTTGTAATTAAGCACAAAGCTACACAATGGGCTATCTGTGTTCTGCCCACCACGGGTATCGAAACCTGGTTTCTAGCATTCTGTGTCCATAGACATACCCCTGTGAGGTGTAATCCTTTGTAAATTCAGAACTTTTTTTTTATAAGCATATGGACTTTTCCCTATATTATATGTTAAATCATACTAAATTTTTATACAGATCTCCACTCTGAGTCACCTAGAAACTATTCTCTTTTAGAATTTATCAAGTTTAACTCTCATTAAAGTTGTAATAAAGTAAGATACTCTCAAGCCAGTAGCATCTTTAGGTTGTCAAAAATATGTCTGGTACTCTGTGGCTGTATGTTAATTTTTATGTTGAAAAGGTTTATATACATTGGCTATAAACTGTGTTACCTATTATGTATGGCTGAAGTCTGAACACACCACAGCAAGGATTCTTATACTCAGGAATCATAGCAAATAATTCTGAGGTAACAAATGTTAAGTTCCCTTTATATAACACACACATGATAAAAACCTTATTAAAAATATGTCCAAATAGTCATACATTAAAATATCTTAATAAAAATGGTACAAGTTAAATACAGCTTTAAATGGCATCTTTATGATTGACAGTTTTTCTTTTTCATGTTTTTGTATGTATATAAGAAAGGCATTACACTAATGAAACAGACTTAATTTGTTTTTATTTCCCTTCATTTTGGCCTGTTTTCTACTAGAAATTAAAATAAAGAACATGTAGGTAGATTGGGTTTTAAATACAAGATTAACTTTTAGGTGAATATAAGTTTAAAAAGAAAATAATGTCAAACAGATTTTAAATATTTTTCATAGTCCATGTCTTCTAATTGTGATATTCTAAATACTTAGGATATAAATATTTGTAATTATATATATTGTGTCTACATATTTAAAATATGTTTATTTAACTTTGTTTTATGACTGTGAAGAATTACTTTCATTATTATTGTGAAAATTTTGTAGTAAGTAATGAGTTGCACTGTTTCATGTTTTAACCATCTGTCATTTCTTGAATAACCAGGTTCTACTGGTTTGTCCTACCATTTGAATTTAAAGTTGCTTTTAGTCATCCAAAGAACTTTTTTTATATATACAAAAATCTTGTGTTATATCAAGTATTGATGCTTCTTTACCTATCATACTTTTACTGTTTGTTTTAGAAGCAAAGAAAAAAGATAGACGTAGCATTGAAGAGGAGCAGTATGTGAGTTTAGAAAACAGTAGGTGTTTGTTCCATTTTATAACTATTCACAAAACACAATAATTTTTTTAAAGTATGAATCTGCAAGTTTTAATCTTCAACTAAAGCATGGAAAAGAAGTTAGTTTATTGCTATAAATTTGCTCTCCACAAACACATTTATGTTCTTTTTAAATTTACATCATACTTTCTATGATCTAGGTTTTTTTTTTCCTTACATCAAATGTTTTCTCAACATTGTATTATACTATCAACCACTTGCAAACACAGTTTTTTATTAAATTCATGCTGCATTTTGCTAAAAAAAAAATAATTTTATAGTTTATATCACACTGTTCAGACCTCTAATATATTTTGTGAGGTGAGGCTAATCACACTACTGGTAGTACTATTTTGTACCTGCATGGATGATTAGTTCTTGTTATATTCACAGTTGAATTAAATTCCAAATTTTCTTGACTATTAGGAAAATTAGATTAGGCCAAACCTAAAATTGTGTGACTTTCATTTGAACAAAATTACAGCATCAAAAATTTGTTTTTACTTATTGCTTTTCTGTTCTTTATAACCAAAAGTTTGCTACTGCAACATTTGATATTTCTTTAAATGCCTGTGTTGTGTACTTATGTCAGTAGGAACACTTTGTGGTCATCTCCCTATAAAATCATAACATTCTAAGTAATTAAATGTAGAAAAGTTTCTGTTTTACCAAAAAAAGTTAGAAAAATTGAAAATTTTGCTCACTGCCTCATTGGTTTTGGTTGAAAAGTACAATCAAGAAGAAACATGAGTTTATTTTTCAGTGAATTATAGGATCAAGTTTCTACCTAAGCCCAATGGAAACTAAATAGTTAAGGGCATTTTGTAGACTAGATCAGTGTTTTCCAAACTGTGGGGGCACAGCCTTTTAACGGAAGATCCCAAAAATAGCAACGGAAGAAACAAAACTTGTCACCTTGCTCTCAAAACTTTTTTTTCTCTCCTATTTACTCACTCCTTACAAGCATTTTAAAAGAATTATTAAAAACAGGTAAAGAAAATGTTGATCTTGCAAAAATTATTGTAATGTGAAAAAGGGGGGGGGGAGTGCAACAGAAACTTGTTGATATTTAAAGTTTGGAAAACACTGATATTGATATGCAGCATCAGAAATAATTAGTGTTGAGAAGTCTAATATAAATTATCATAGTTTAATTTCCGAGGATAATTTTACACTCTTGCTGCTGATTTTGTGATATTAAATTACAGTAAATAACTAAGTACCTATTTTTTCATTGATTCTATCATTTGTTTTGCCAGAAATATTACATAAACAGTGAAAATTACAATATGCGCAAGACAACAAACTCATTAGAAACTTTTAAAAACTTCGTTCTGCCATTTAAATTTCCATTACATTGATTTTAAACTTTAGTGTCAGATGTGGATGAAGATAAATCATACAACTAATAAGAATAGTGGTGAAATATTTTGTGTTTTAGTAGTTATGATTTGTGTGTAGAAAATTTCCTATTTGATACAAAAACTTTTAATTTTGTATATGGGTTAGAAGGTACCAAATTTAGAAGGAACATGCTAATGTTCGTAAGAATGTAGGACATGTACCACTATGTAAATATATTTCTGTAGTTTTAAGTCACAAGAATTATTCAAAATACTGGAAATTGTTTTGTTTTCTGCCATTATTATATTATAATCTGAGAAGGTATAATTAGGAATACCTTCAAAATGTGTAAAAGACAGAGGCAAATTTTAATTTTGGCTACAATGTGTGAAAGTTTCTGTGAATAACTTGAGTTCCATTATAATTAAGTTTGTTCCTTCTGTTTCATACAAACAGAAATTGGACTGAAAAGGACACATGAAAGTGTCATGACTTGTATCCATATAAGTTTAGTATTATTCCGTAATATTGGATATAAATATTATTGTAGATTATTTCATATTCCAACAATCATGATGTGGACAGTAACATGGTTATTAGTCAAGGCATACAGTATTTTCCATCCAATCAAATTAAACAAAAATATTTGTTTATGTTTGTATTATTTTTATAAAACAATTCTTCATAGCATCTTGCAAGTAAAAACACAATTGTACAGGTTTATAATGGAGTTGAAATATCACATTAGTGAATCTAAACATGGTTAAACTTCATTAATACAATGAAGATATTGTTATTGGGGTGATTCCTTATTCATGTCTATCATCATCTAGCTTGGACTTAAATGTTTAATAAAGAAATAATAAGTTAGTTAAACAGAATAAAGTTTAAAAATGAAAATTTGCATTATTTTCTGACATAATTAATATCTGCTTCTCATTTAATGTACTTTATATTCATATTAAACTCAAGTTATTAAAGTTTTAGGTAAAATATCAGGTTTATACTTAACTAATTTTAACCAACAAATATTACTTTCAGTTTATCCATGCTGTGATAGTACAGGTTCCACTCAAATGTGGCTGTTTGGTACTGCAGTACAGTGATAGTACAGGTTCCACTCAAATGTAGCTGTTTGGTACTGCAGTACAGTGATAGTGCAGGTTCCACTCAAATGTGGCTGTTTGGTACTGCAGTACAGTGATAGTGCAGGTTCCACTCAAATGTGGCTGTTTGGTACTGCAGTACAGTGATAGTGGCTGTTTGGTACTGCAGTACAGGTTCCAGTCAAATGTGGCTGTTTGGTACTGCAGTACAGCGATAGTGCAGGTTCCACTCAAATGTAGCTGTTTGGTACTGCAGTACAGTGATCGTACAGTTTATAACAAAGGCACATGCGTAGAATTCAAAGAACTTGTGTGCTTAATATTTGGAATGTTGAGCGTGAAAATTACAAGTCATGAAAAGATAAGTAGATAGCAATTAGAATTTAAACAAAAATGAATGCTCTTCATTCCTGTAGATTTCTATTTTTCCATTTTTGTTTAAATTTTAATTGCTATCTACTTATCTTTTTATGTAATAGATGTAATTTTGGTTCGAATTTTCTTGCTCAACATTCCAAATAGTGTGCACGCAAGTTAATTGAATTCTGCGCATGCGCCTTTATTGTCAACTGTATGGTCTGATGAAAAGTGCTAGCTCAAAATGTCATCCTTCTTTAAATAAAAACTTGACCACTGTAGGAGTCAGTCAAACACCTATATATGTCATTCACACACTGGGTAACTATTGTCTCTGTTGTACTTCTCACTGCCTTAGGAGCATCAGCAGTTATTTTCTTGCTGTGACTTTTACACTAGCTTGACAATCATTCATTTCATGTAATCTTAGTGCTTTCTTTTTCCTGGTATTATCCTTGCTGAACTTCACAATAGTTGAAAGTATATTGTCCAAATAAGGTAGTTTGAAGCTTTCCTTTTATGTTATGTTTCTCACTGATGAAATTGCATTTCCTCCCATTCTTTCTTTCTCTGTGGAATGATAGTTGATCACGAAATATGACCGTTGAAGTATGGCTTGTGGAGTTTAATTTATGAAATTTGCTCTGCTTTGAGTACTCGAAAAATAATTTTTTTCTCAACCGCTGGAAAGTTTAAAAAATTTATAGTGACTGCATACAGCTCTGTTCATTGCACTTCATAGAAAGTGGGGGTAGTAAAGAAACACAGTCTTGCTTTGACTGAGAAAACCGATTGGTTATCTTACTTCTACAGTGATGATATTCTGTCTCTAGTTTTCACCATGTTTAGTTTGAGAACAGAATTATAAGTATCAATAAATTAACAAAAATTTGGATTTTAACCTAAATTTGAATAATGGGTTTATGAATAAGCATATTTCTTTTCACTCTAGTGTCAGTTACAGGTCCATTTCGAAGAAGCAAACTTCCATCCGTAACCCAGCCCAGCACCAACAGAACCAAGGAAATGAAAGAACTTTATGGAAAAGCAGCACCAACAATTCATGGAATGGAAACTGCAATGCAGTTGTCTTTTGATAGGTTCTGTGACACAAAATGGCCAAAATTATGGCCAAACATTCCACTCAAAATGTAATTTGTATATAAAGGGAAGTATAAAAGTTTCTTGATATTGAGATTTATAAAAACAATACTGTATACATATTTGTTATACTACGTTTACTGCATAATCAGTTTGAAATAGCAACCAACATTCTTCAAATTACCAATCTCATCAAGAAAAAAATGTGAAATCTATAGTTTTTGACTAGTAAATTTCCATAAACATTGCTAATAAAATCTGCAGTAAAGATGTTTAACAGATATTATAAATATCCACAGCTTCATTGCTGAAAGCAAAAATGTATTTGATTTAAAAGTTCTTATGTTTTTGGATAGATCACAGCAAGGAATGTGAAATTACTAACCAAACTGCAACTGTCTTTTTCCGATACAAACTACACATGAAACCCAGATATGTAAAAGTACTCAGAATTCTGGATGTTCAAAGTAACGTGCCGTACGATGTAGAGTTTGAGACCATAAACAATCGTTCTCCATAGCAATGTATATATCCTTCCATATAGTCTATAGTAATCCACTGGAACAAGTCTTTCAATATTGATTAAATAGTTTTTGTAATTATTCAAACTGTGTATTTCAACTGGCTGTTTGTGTAGCTTGAATTTCAATAGCTATTGTGATAGCATCTGAAGGAAATAAATTTGTAAGCTCTATTATTAAAGTGTTGAGCACATAAGTCTTTTTTATGTTATGTGACAGATGCTTGGCATTGAAGATACTATAATTCTTAAAAACACCTTTGAGACTTAGTAGTAAAAGGACTTGCAACACTTGTTCTAGGACATGCTACATTTATTGATAAATTTTTTATCTCAACTCTGATATTTGATTAGCATAATTCTAAGAACATTGTACAAAGTTAAGGCTGAATGATTACTTTTTTTCTTTTTATAAATTTGAAAATGTTTAACAAGTCTTAAGTCGGCAAAAAAAAAAGGCAATTTGTTGGAGCTGACTAAATCCCTTTGTAAATATCTTCTATTTTTATTTAAATAAATAGATCATAATCTTAATCATTATTAGTTTGTCCTTATGACATGTTATTCTAAAAACATGTTTTAGGAAAGAAAAAAAAATCCATCAAGGTGAGCCACCACATTTTTATTTCAGCTAAAAAAATTTAAAAAACACTTGGCAAAGTAATTCACAATATTAACATGAACCAAAATATCCTCATTAAGAACAGTTAAAAACAAAATACATGTATTACCACACTGTGTTTAAAACATATAGATGGTGATTGCTAAATTAACATGGAATAAAGCTTTGTGCTTCATCTGTTATTTCATCATAAATATTTCTCAAGATTGTTAGCTTATTTGTTTACTTTTCTGCCAAAATATATTAGGTTAAGGTTTTTAACTTAAGTCTTGAACCCTGAAAGACCATCTTTTATTTGTTACAGTAATAACAGAATCTTTATGTGAGAACTAAGAAAAATCTTATTCTTATCCTGTAAAAAAATAGCTAATAATAAATGAAAATAGACTGTGAACTATGTTATTAATGGCTGTTGAAAATATTGCTTCCATAAACAGAAATTACAAAAAAATATACAATTAAGTCACACCTAGTCCAAGTTGTTAAAAATATCTCAAATTATTTAAAGAAAATACATTTCTGAAAAGCTTTCAATTATATATTCAATTACATACTTAATAATGTTTCGTTTTCACGTAAAAGCATGAATTGTCCTTTTGAAGAACATTAATGTGTATAAATATTAGCTTAGTTCCCACATATTCAAAAAATATACAACGTGGTATACTTTTTTTTTAAATCATGAGCTTTATATAAAATATCTAGAAATTATGGTCTATGTCATTGATGAAGTTAGTGTATTCTTCCAAAACTTACGCTTCTGAAATTCACACTAAAATTACTGTTTAGTAAATAAACTTTAAAAACAACCTCAATTTCCAACTGCCAGTACAATTTTCATGATATGTACAATATAAGGTTCAAAATCACAGAAATTCTTTTCATCTTTGTACTTGTATGGCTTACTTACTACATGTTATAACAAATCACTGCTTTCATTTTAAATTAAAAAATGTGCTTGTGAACAGGCTGGTTACAATACATAAAATAACACAATTCTCAAAAACAATCCTTGATAATATAGAAATGCACACATTGAAATGAAAATAAAACTATCAAACAAATTCTAGATGGCCTACAGGGTCAGCATAATGTTCGGATCATAAAATTAAGAAATGACACATTACAGTTTTTTCTTGTATAGATAATATATCTAAATAAACTCCAGTTACTTCTGTAACAAATCTTAAAAGAGTACATTGGCTTTACGAGAACTGTGTAATAATGGACTAACACGCACCACTTAGGCACTTGACTTGAACCAACTTAGCTGACAAGTCAGTTACACTTGAAAAGTTTCAGCCATCAGAGGCACTAAGATACAGAATAACATAACTAAAAATGATTAAATGAGTTATATTTGATTTTACTAAATGTTAAAATGCTTAGGACACATAGCATGCTAAAAAAAAGTATTTTCACCACCTCAAAAACAGCAACAGTCTTTCAGTTTAGAACTACCCTACTAAATATGTATATATATATATATATATATATATAACTTCATGCAGCCCCATCCGTCAAAACTTCAGAGTAGTTTAACATGCTTAACCAGGAATGATTTCATTTAATGAGTGATTGTGAACAATGATATTAAACAAAATTTCAAGTAGGAGAAATGTCTTATCCTAGATTCATATTTTAAACACACCAGAAAAAGAACAATAACAAAGAACATAATAATCAAAAATGTTAACACATGTCTTTTTTATGTATGATATGAACAAAGTTAATGAGTGATGTATCATTTAGTTAAATTCTCTTGGAAATATCCACCCCCAAGATACAATGTTTCAGACAATAATTTAAAACTAAAATGTTTTTAAGCATTTTGACTTCTTAATCACAAATTGTTTTTACTCTCACATAGCATTTATTTCAAATTTCTCACCAAATGTGCGAGTCACTAGAGGGCATCAGTATTATATGTCTTAGAAGTACCATATAACACATTTCAATGGCATTAGTTAACCCTATTAAATTCAGAATAAGTGGTAACACAACTGAAAGTGAATATATATATCCATTTCACGTAGAGTATGAAAATAATATATACTTCGGAATTCAGGGTAAACACAAATAATAAGCAAACTAAATAAAGTTATGCTCATAATGGCATACAAATACAAAAGGTTCCACCTAGTGGCATGTGAGCAAACTAAAGTTTGAGCAAAAGGTAGAACAGTTAGCCTAGAAAGACAGGAAGAAGCAAAATAATGTTAAATATGATTTAGAGGTATTGTGAAAGTACTCCACAAAAAAGTGTCTTGATTAATGTTCTGCCATTTTTTAGTTTTTAGCCTCTGCCTTCATATAAATGAATAAATATTTTTTAAGAAACAAAAGAAATTTAAAAACAGAAATGTATTTACATGAACCTTTCTAGAATTATTTCTTCCTGAATTTTTGAACCTTGTTTCTTAGTTGCTGAACAAGATCAAAAATCTTTAATGATGGTCCAACTTTCATTCCAATCAGTTCCAAAATCTCATCTTTGGTCAAACTAAGGAGCCGTTTTCCATCTATTTTCTGGAATTGCAGAAAAAAAACAATTCAAACAAATCTTAAGATAAAAAAGGAAAAATTATTTCAGAAGTTGCAATTATGGAAAAGTATAATTACAGTGCCAATAATTTTATTCAGTCATCACTCAGATGTAGACAATAAAGAAAATACTAGTATTAATAAGGTTACATATGTAATTTTTATGGAAACTTATTTTTAACAACAATTTACATTTTCTTGTCAAATTTAAGTAAATTTTTGCAACCAATCCTGAAAGTGCCCCTAACCTCCTTGATCTCCCATTTGTGGGCTTTAATGTGAAAATTTCAAAAACGTAAGAATGGGTACTAATTTTGAACACATCCACACTATGTTGACTTTTACGCAAATCTACCAATCCCATTCTTAGAACCTCAAAAAAATCCTTTAGACCTTTACACTGGTAACAAATTTGAAAGGTTTCAAAAAAATATATGAATTTTAGATTAATTACTGTTTTGAATGGTTCTTTGCATCTTATTAGCAGTTTTCAAGTAAATTGGTTCAAATTAACTTTTTAGCCACAAAAAAAACTTGCTCTCCACTTTTGAAGACCCCCTCAAACTCCTAGAATGTTTTTTCGTTATTCATATCCTGTTGGGTCAAGAACCTAGATAAACCTTGAAAAACTGTGAAAGAAGCCTTCACAAATCAAGTAATCAATAAAACTTAGGAACAATTAAGGGTTAACATACGTTTTAATTACAGAAAATACTTTTATTCATCAAAACTTTGTATCTAGAAATAATCCAAAAATGACTACATGCAAGCTTTACTTCTCTAGAAAATTGTGATATTAATATACATGCTTTTCCTGGAGCAAAAAAAAAAAAAGTTTTTAACCAACTGTGCAAGTAATTTATAAGTTTACCAAATTCACAATGAAAGATCAATACTTGGCCTATTACTATAAGGAAAACATTGGATGTATTTGAAGATTTCAAGCAAAAACTCGGTCTGTTTTAAACCTTTTTTGTGAAAGCTTTAAGGTAAAACAAAAACATGTTCATGTGAAGAGTTATGATAGACTTACTATTTACTGTTGTTATATGTGAACTATGAATACTTGAAACAATGTTCATTTGAAGAGTTATGATAGACTTACTATTTACTGTTGTCATATGTGAACTATGAATACTTGAAACAATGTTCATTTGAAGAGTTATGATAGACTTACTATTTACTGTTGTCATATGTGAACTATGAATACTTGAAACAATTTTATCATTTTTCAGAAATCTGTGCAAAGTTATACAGAGTTATCTGTGCTAGTCATTTGTAATTGAAAGACTAAGAAAGAAGGCAGTTAGACAATAGCATTCACTGCCATCACTCTTATAATGTATCCACATCTCCAAAGTGCAAAGCATATTTTTGTGGAAATGGGATATAAACCATTGACCCTTGGATTAACAATCTGGGACACTAGATGCTAGGCCAATCTGAAACAAAGTCCAACTTGTTTACAAAATCATTACCTATTTCATAATTAGGATGGTTAAATAACTTCAAAGTCACTTCCCCAGTGAAACAATGGTGATGAATAGCCTAATTTTACAACTGGACAAGTTACTTCAAACAACTGAGACTTCTGGAAGAACTATTTTATATTAACAACTTCTGTGATTGTAACCATTATTTACTAGTTTATTTATGAATAATATAACATTATTACAGTGTTGGATTTTGTCTGGTAGATGGGATATTCCCAATGCATTTGGGAGCTTTACCACAGACTTTAAGAATTTTAGTAATTCTTGATGTGAAAGAAAAACCTAATAACACAGAGTGATATTAAAAACATACATCACTACTATATTTACAGTCCTGATTGTCCCTTAATAGCAAATAACTGTCTCTGAAATATTTGATAATGTGGTCCAAAATGTCACAAACAATATCCAAGCCTAGACTAATGACAATACATAACCAGTTATCTAATCAGGTATAAGCTGAAAGGCTGTCTTTAATGGCAAATATTTCTTATGCACAGCTGTTAAGTTTATGATACTTATTCTACTGTACTCTATCCTGTCCTTTATCATGTATTATTTATCTCAACACACTTCAACAGGTGCCAGTAGGCAATATAACCTTATTATCAGCAGAGATATTTTAGCCTCTAGCAAAATGTTTTTGCTATTGCTTAACAATATAAGCCTCACAGAGCAAGGTGAAATTTGGGTTATATTAAAAAATTATTAAACATTTCAAAACACAAATAATATATAATTAACTAAAATATATAAAAGTAAAACTAAAATACAATTTCACTGTCTATCTAACTAATATGTATCTAAGTAAGAAACAACACTAAATGCTAGTGAGGACAATATCAGCAATCAATACTTTGACTGTTTGATGTACTAGGTAATCATGTGCACCAATTTTAAAATAACCACTGGAAGATTGTAGTTTAAAATTAGCCCTTTCTATTGGTTATAAACCTGTCTATCAAATATGTACATGTTGCTTTAAATAACATGTATAAGTTAAAAGGTGGGCGTGACTACTGTTAGGGCGTGAGGATATTTATTTTTTTGTGATCTTTGAATTGACCAGAAAGAATTTGAACTAAGAAGGAGTAAGTAGCACTATATGAGTAATAGAGACAAAAAGTTAAAAACTGTGATTGATCATCTGTCATGTAAAAACAAATCTGAAGTATTTTATTTAAAGGTTTCTTTTGAAATAAAAGAATTAAAACTTAGATAATATAAAACTTTGAATTACAACATACATGATAATGCTAATTTCATTAAATACATTGATAGTAAAGTGGTTTAATTAAATTTTGAAATATTTTATACTAAATTCATATAAAATACATTTTCAAAATACAACAGTTTAAGATTAAAAAGGAACTTCACCCTAAATCGTTGAACCTGAAGCTATCGCAATAAACGAAAAGTAATTTGTAAATGTCTTTACAAAACTGCAAACAGGCTGAAAATATGAAGAATAGTCTCATATGAGAATGATAGATTAGTTTAACGTAATTAATAGACAGGACCGAGGACTAATAAATTAGCAAATTCCAATAACAGTCCAGCTGTAATTGCTGTACCTGTTGGTTAACATTTGTTTACCCTAGATAAACTATGAACAAACAAAAACAACAACATTTATAGCTGTCAAAATTTTAGTACCTGTTGACTGAAAGCCTGGCAATATGCTCCACACTCATTGATTCGTAGAAACTGAGCAACATCCAAGACCCCCCATTCCTCAGGGTTGGTCTCACTGTGTAAGGAACTAAGGGCTAGGCTGTGTGCTGCTATGGACTCCTTGGATGATGATAAGGTAAAGCCAAGATGTTGTCTGGACGGAGGGTTCAAACCAGCAGAAGTAGAGGGTGGTCTAAATATTGAAAACAACTGTTTTGAAACTTCTTTGAACATTTTTAACAACTTAAAATGTTGTTCTGATATAACAACAAACAAAATTATGAAAGTATATCATAAAATTAATGAATTACCGTTTTCATAAACATAAAAACATTAGCTTCAACAAACAAACAAAATTTTTACATAAAGCTTCAATGTTAAACTGGAATAAGATTAAAACCAACAACTCTTCACATACACTTTAGCTATGGAATGACAATAACAGAAGAAATAATATAAAATGTGTTTCATTGCACAACAACCTACTATACCAGTGGCTAAAAATGTCACCCAAAGAAACTTGAAATCACTCAAGAGGAGGAAGCTTTATATACAGTTTGTTTTTACATCCATCCTTATATGTTCCACTGGAAAAGTGATTGAAGCTATCTAACTATGTAGTATAGTAGGAGAAACAGATGTAAACTGACTAAATAAAGAGCAAAAGTGGTTTTTTAATTGAATCATATTTGAGTTCTGAGAGACTATAATAGAAATACTCTCATTTACTCTATTAAATGTACCATAAAAATAAACTATTTTAAAGCTGAGATGTAAATAGATAAATGACTCACCGACCAAGATTGCTTAGTAGTGGAATCGAAGCACACTTGTTGTCAGCCGCTGAAGTCTTTGAATTAACTCCTTGAAGGTCTGAAGTGGATGAAACTAGTGAAATACATTAATTACAGTTAAATATTACTTTTATCTAAAATGTAGTAAGCTATAAAGTTCTTAAAACTTCACTGGGTTAGTCTAGATATAAGAAAACCAAGTATTCATGTAGTTACATGAATAAAGTTCTTAAACTTCACTGGGTTAGTCCTAGATATAAGAAAACCAAGTATTCATGTAGTTACATGAATAAAGTTCTTAAACTTCACTGGGTTAGTCATAGATATAAGAAAACCAAGTATTCATGTAGTTACATGAATAA